AGTGTTCGAAATGATTTTAATTCCTAGCTAAGGAGTTTGGCTTTAGTTCATCAAGGATTGCAGATCCTTTGTAAATTTTGAACCAGGAAACTAACATTGATGATTCTATAAATAGTTAACCAGAGCTGACCATTAGCCAGCATTATATTGCAAAACCAAAGACCTCTTGCTGTCGAGTCGATTCCGACTCACAGCGACCCTATAGGACAGAATAGAACTGCCCCATAGGGTTTCCAGGAAGTGGCTGGGGGATTCAAACTGCTGACCTTTTGGTTAGCAGGCAAGTTCTTAACCACTGCTCCACCAGGGCTCTGGCTTTATATGAGGCATTGCGCATTAACTCAGCTGAGACAAAACCAGAGTCTAACATCAGGGCCAGCAGGTGTCATCCGTTGAAAGTCAAAGTCTAGCTTTCAGTTTTCTTTCTAAAACTCTTTTATCCTGATGATGATGATGATAGCTATCACTTATTGATCAACTTGCTGTCAACTTGTATTGTGCTAAGTGATTAATCCTTACAGAAACTCTAAGGGGTATACATTATCTCCATTTTTACAAGTGAGGAAATTGAGACTTAGCAGAGTTTGAATATCTTGCACTAGGTCACATGGCTAATGAGTGGCAGAGCTGGGATTTGGAGGAGTGGCCATCTTATTCCAAAGCCTTTTCTACCAGTACTACTGAATATGTCCCTGTGTTGCCTCTCTGATGAGGTCACGCCTCCAGGGCACCGTTGAGCCTTGCTGGGCTTGTCATGCCCGTGTTTGCCAACAGGGCGGATCTTCCTCCTCTGCTCTGCTGCCAACTCTTATTAATACTGCAGGTATTCCAGGCCTGGACTGATCTTCTTTAACATGACTTAATACCTTTATGGTGCCACTCATTCTGTGTTTATTAGTTTACATATTTCCACCCACAGGTGGGTCATCTCATACCTGTTTTTGTACTGCTGGTTGAGCTGTGGGACCTTGAGCAAGCCCACAGTGCCGCCATCTTTAAAATGGTGGCACAGATTGCATAATCTTGACAACCCCTTCCCATTGGGCCTTCTGTTCTTGGGGTTAGGCATGAACAAAAAGGAATAGTGGCTCTGGGATCTTGGGTGCTAGGGAGAGCGTTGTCAAAAGGACTGGTCACTATTTTCACTCCTGACACATGACACCACTCTCAGTACATGTTCATGAATTTCCTGATCATCTGGCTTCACAGATCCTAAGCTCTGCTCAACATCAGCAAACAACAGATGCAGCCATGTCCTTCGAGCTGCTTGAATTTAGAAATGCTCCCCCCTCAGAGCAGCCTCCTCAGCCACTTCCTGCACAGTTTCTTCTTTTCCCTGTGATCTTTATCTGTTCCTGTTCTCTTTGTCTATCGCCTGAAGCTGAGCCCCCATTCCAGAACAATTAACTCAGCATCTGTAGGGGGGACCCTTGGGCGCTGGTATTTGCTGGAGATTTCCCCTTGTGGTTCTGTTGTCTTCTCAGCTCTGAGAACCACAGCCCAAGGCCAAAGGAGGCATATCTTGCTGCTGTTCTTCCATAAGACAAAACAAAACAAGCAAATAAAACACCCAATTGCTGTCAGTCGATTTCGACTCACGGCGACCCCATGTGTGTCAGAGTAGAACTGTGCTCCATAGGGTGTTCAGTGGCTGATTTTTTGCAAGTAGATCACCGGGCCTTTCTCCTGTTCCCATGTCTCACTCCCTTTTACTGCCAGTCTCTAAGCACCAGAGAGGTCAGTGACCCTCATAATTTTAAAGGGTACCCTACTAGTGGCCGTCTGCTCTTTCTGTTTTCAGTTTTTAATGACAGTTTTCTTTATGTGCATCCTATTTTTTTTTATACTGATTCACTGTAGACTGTCTTGTCCCAGACCGCTGCCTCTGATTGATAGGACCACTTAGTGCCAGTTACATACAGGTGAAGCACAGTATTGAGATGACGACATTTATGGTTTCCCAAAAGGCATTCAGGCTGTGGAGTAGTATGTTCAGTCATTTAAAAAGATACATGTTTACAGAAGAAACCATTTTTTGATGTTTACCAGGGTGGGGATGGAGGGAGAGGGTTATTCACTAACTAGATAGCAGACAAGAATTATCTTAGGTGAAGGGAAGGACAGCACACACTACAGGGGAAGTCAGCACAACTGGACTAAACCAAAGCTAAGAAGTTTTCTGAATACAGTCAAACACTTTGAGGGCCAGAGTAGCAGGGGTGGGGATCTGGGGACCATGGTTTCAGCAGACATCTAGGTCAACTGGCGTAACAAAGTTTATTAAGAAAATGTCCTGCATCCGACTTTGGTGAGTGGCGTCTGGGGTCTTAAAAACTAGCGAACGGCCATCTAAGATGCATCTATTGGTCCCAACCCACCTGGAGTAAAGGAGAATGAAGAACACCCAAGACACAAGGAAAGTATTAGCCCAAGAGATAGAAATGGCCACATAAACCAGAGACTTCATCAGCCAGAAGACCTAGATGGTGACCGGCTACCACCAATGACCACCCTGACAGGGAACACAACAGAGAGTCCTTGACAGAGCAGGAGAAAAGTGGGGTGCAGAACTCAAATTCTAGAAGAAAGACCAGACTTAATAGCCTGTGTGATACTAGAGGAACCCTGTAAAATCATGGCCCCTGGACTCTCTGTTAGCCCAAAACTAAACCCATTCCCGGGGCCAACTCTTCAGACAAAGATTAGACTGGACTATGGGACACAAAATGATGGTCATGAAGAGTGTGCTTTTTAGCTCAAGTAGATACATGAGACTGAATGGGCAGCTGCTGTCCAGAGGTGAGATGAGAAGGCAGAAAGGTTCAGGAGCTGGTTGAATGGACATGGGAAATCGAGGTAGAAAGGAGGAGTGTGCTGTCACAGTATAGGGAGAGCAACTAGGGTCACATAACAATGTGTGTCTAAATTTTTGTATGAGAGACTAACTTGAATTATAAACTTTCACTTAAAGCACAACAACAACAAAGAAAGATGCATGTTTACATAAAGATTCAAGCATACATAAGGGAAAAAGCATCGGCAGGAAACATATTAGAATGTTCAATGATTATCTCAGGGTGGTAGGATTACAGATGGTTTTTGTTTTCTTTTGGTCTCTATATTACAGATTTTCTATAACAAGCACGTATTTCTTCTCTATTAAAAAAAAATCTCAAAAATATACCCTAGACAAAGTGGGGGTGGGTGTCTGTGTGTGTTATTTTTAGCTGTGGAGGCATATCTTTTTCTCTGGGGATATTGAGAATAGTACCACTGAGAATGAGTTAATAGCAAGGTTCAGCGTACAAAAGCTGGGATTTGGATCCTTGTTATTTTTGTTTTTGCTTATTATAGCTAAGCTAAATGCATCCCGTCTGTAGCGCTGGCATTTGTTTTGTTGAGCCAAGTGACTGTCATGAGATTATTAGTCCATAACAGGGACACAGAGAATGACATTGATGGTTTGCGCTCTCGTTAATGCCAACGGGTTAATTTTAATGACAGTATCTGTCATCAGCGGTGCTTTTGGAAAAACTGTTAAATGGAGGACAGAATGCTGACCTCGAGTCCACTCATCTTTTTGTATTGGTTTATTACTGGAGTTTAATACACGCATTGGAATTTGAAATAAGACATAATTAGAATAAGTGGTTTAGATGAGAACTTAACTGTAGTTATCTCTGACTAAGTTGTCAAGGAATTTTAACAGTACTTTAAAAAAAAAAAAGACCTCAATCACTAACAGATGTTTAGTTTCTACTCTTAACTTTTGTCAAAATAGATTTCTTTAAAAATAAGAGGACAGGCGAATCTCATGCCGAAGTGATAGGAAGACAGCCTTGCGTGGTGGTGTTTCAGGAGGATGGTTCCCTCAGAAATGCTGTCTCGCTAGTCCTTGGGGAAATTTGGCTACGAGCATGCAATTATTACATTTTTATCCGCGGAATGGGCTGAAGTTGGCAACATACCCCTCACGGTTGCCAGAGGCAACACGCTGATTTAATTTGTGCCCCGTGGCGACATTCTGAATAGTTTTAGTGATTTTTTTTTTTTTGTTTTAATGCTACCTTTTCCCTTTCTTTTGTGCTCTCCTGCCTTTGGTTGCTCACTCGCTTTCAGACTGAGTTCTGAGGCCGCCATTGTTGGCTGGGAGGGGAGAGGACAGCTGTGCTCTGGTCTGTCACCTCCTGGGGGAGCCCGGGTCAGAGTGCCGCTCTCACGGATGCTAGCTCTCTTACAGATTGACAAAAAAGAACGTGTCTTAATTAGGCCTGTGTGAAACCCAGCTTGGAGCCTGAGAAACATATCCCAAGAGAGCTGCATTTGGGGGATTTTGAATTCTTTTGGCACATGATTGAGATTTCCTGAAGTGCTCATCTTCACTGTTCTGTAGCCTGCGTGTGCCTTTGATATTTTGTTGTACTGACGGTTGTTTAACATGGAGGGTCACCACATGCACCTGGTTTGAGCGTGGGCATCTTTTCTGCTAGACTGAGGGCCACAGAAGGACCAGGGAAGAGCTGGCCGGTACTCCTGCTGCTGCAGGGCAGGCCTCTTTACCTAGTGAGCATTACTTAAGGGCTTTGGGGGAGGGACACTTTTCAGAGCAGTGCTTGCCTGTGCTAGAAGCATTTTCATGTAAAAGGTGTTTGTTTTATCATAAGTACATCCTCAAGGTAATCAGAAAAAACAAAAACAAACCAGTTGCCCTCAAGTGGGTTCTGACTCAGGGTGATCTTCAGAGTAGAACTGTGCTCCTTAGGGTGTTCAATGGCTGATTTTTCAGAAGTATGTCACCAGGCCTTTCTGCCAGGGCGCCTCAGGGTGATCTCGAACCTCCAACCTTTCGCTTAGCAGCCAAGTGCGTTTAACCGTTTGTGCCACTAGGGACTCCCAAGATAATCAGAGACGAGGAGGAAAAGTGACCCAGGTTGGAACACGAGTACACGCATTGTGTCTGGAGATTCTGAGCATCTTTTTCGTTTTGTTTTTGAATGCAGAGTGGACGCAGATCTCTACCAGATACCTTCGCGAGCAGTTGGCCAAGATTTCTGACTTCTACCACATGGCCTCCAGCACGGGCGACGGCCCTGTCCCTGTGCCACCGGATGTGGAACAAGCCGTGAAGCAGTGGGAGTACAACGAGAAGCTAGCGTTTCACATGTTCCAGGTACGCTTCGCTTTTAAGAAGAGAGCAAATTCCTTATAGTTCAGTTTTCCGGGAATTAAATTGTATCGTTACATGAACAAAAATATGCAAAGAAAGCAGCCTGACGTTTCTCATCTTGACTGGTGTTGAAAGACATTTGCCTTGGAATTTACACATACTGATCCACAGCTTTCAGTGATGTCAGCCCTTTTAAAGCTGTTAATTACTTTGTAATCGCACTGTTAAACACACCCCTTCTAAACCTTTTATTTTGCGAAATTGGACGTATTTATTCAAAAACACCTTTGTGTCGATGCCTCCTGCCTCCTAGCAGATCTTGTTTAGAGCTTAGTTATTCCAGAGAGGGGTCACCTTAATTGGGTTTAAATGCAGACAGAGTGGGAAACGGGTGGTGCCTTGAGGAATTCACTGAGCTCTCATCCAGACAAGCTGGTGCAAATTGTGTTGACCAGAAGAGGGCGCTTGTGCTCATATTTGCCTCAGTCTTCATTCCTGGAACGAACAGAAGAAACCCTGGTGGCGGAGCGGTTAAGTGCTACAGCTGCTAACCAAAAGGTCGGCAGTTCGAATCTACCAGGCGCTCCTTGGAAACTCTGTGGGGCAGTTCTGCTCTGTCCTGTAGGGTTGCTATGAGTCAGAACTGACTTGATGGCACCAGGTTTTTGGTTTTCATTCCTGGCAAGGTGGAAGGAGAGGTGTGTGCAGAAAGCTGAAGTGGTATTGCTAGCATAGACTTTTAGTACCTGTTCACCTTGATCAGAGAGGAAGAGGGATAGAATGGATGTGTGATTTCTAAATTTTCCCGGGAGAGCCCTAATTATAATTTTCCAAGGATCTCCAACTAGGAAAAAGCGCGGTCCTTTTGGGAAGTACCATTGTTAGTTTTTGGGTCAATAGAAATAACTCCTACCAACCTTGGGTCCGTTTAGCAGAGGATGGCTTTATGTCTGCGCTGAGCTTTTATGACTTTACTGAGTGGAGGATTTAGTCTGCATCTTTGAAAAAGTGTCTCTCATTTAGTACCAGCTTGCTTAATACTTTTGGGAGGATTAATTTATACGTAGGAACGTTGAAATCCGTATCTCTTTTATAGGAAACAGGCTCTAAAGTGATGAATCTAATTGGAAGATTAATGTTAGCTTTTGCAAGTTGATTGTATTTTAATTTTCCAATTAGATTTGTTTGAAATATGAAACTGCCCCTAGTATATACATGTGCAGAAACATGGGCATGATTACACAAACAGAAGCATCTTTAGCGTGGCCTCTTATGTGGAGCCCTGGGGGTGCGGTGGCTAAGCCAGCAACTGCTAACTCAAAGACGGGCCGTTTGAATCCACCAGCTGTTCCTTGGAAACCCTATGGGGCAGTTGTACTCCGTTCAAGAGATCTCTGTGAGTCGGAATCAACTCGATGGCAACTTTTTTTAAACTTGATTATGGAGTCATCATGTAGTCATTGGAAATCATGTTTACAAAGATTCTTTAATATGTGAATCGCAGTATACAACTATAGTACAGGCACTACCCAGATTAGAACGAGTTCCGTGTCTAAGTCTGTCTTTAAAGGCGACTTTGTGTGTAAGTAGGAACAGTTAGTCCGATGTTTGTCTTAGTATATAGTGTACCTTTCTATGCATAAAAAACATTAAAGAAACACTTCAGATGCACTAAAACATCTTTAACATAATGATACAGTAATAATAATGTTTCGATGCGTGTTGCAAAGTAGCGTCTGCTTGTTATTATGAACCATTGTATGTACCTCTGATTTTTAATATAATCAGCTTTATGGGGGTTGGTTTGTAACTATGGGTTGTATGTAAGTCAGACGTTCATAACCCGGGCATTGCCTGTATAACATCAAATAGATAAATACATAAAATGTCAAAGAAGAGTATTTATATATATGAATATGAAGGCAGGAGACCAAAAACATTTTTAGTGCTTATATCAAGATCACCAACCTTATGGGACGTTTTGGAAATTGGTGTGTATGTGGGGGGTGTGTACTGGGTTTTAGTTGGTCATACTGGAATTTTATACATTATCGTATTATGAATTCCCCTTTTCTCTTTACACTGCAGTTAGGTCATCGTACCGATTTTTAAAGGTATCTTTTATTGGTAGGCGACAGAATCTGTCATTCACTTTAGGATAGTGAAGGAGGCTGTCTGTTAAAGGGGCACTGGGTTTGCTGGGATTTTCAGTCCTTGTTGAGATGATGACGTGATGGGTGTTTTTGTTCTTTGTAGTCATCACTCTTGGCCAGTTTCCGCCCAGGAGCCTGAACTTACCTTCCCCTGAAGTCTGTCCGAGGGCTTGACTTGCCCTGGGAGCGGGAAGGCTTCTGAATTTCCTTTCTTAGTGGAATTTTTTTTTTTTTGGGGTGGGGGGTCAATCTAGAATGACGTGGATTACCAAAACACCCAAACAAATAAGCAGGCAAAACCCACTAGTCCTTTGTTTTGTTTAAATTTTGTACTGCGATCAGTGAGGCCATGTTTTACTACTACAGCAACAGCAACATCTCTAGTCATAATAGTGTTTAAGCTTAACAGTAAGTGCTCTTTCTAGAATTTTAGTTGCTTTTCTTTTAGCATAATTAGTATAACTTTTTTTGTTGTTGTTCATTTAAGGAAGGAATGCTAGAAAAACATGAATACTTGACATGGATCCTGGATGTTTTAGAAAAAGTCAGACCCACGGATGACGATCTTCTTAAACTTTTGTTGCCGCTAATGCTGCAGGTACAGTAAGCGTCACCTCGAGCCAGGGATTTATGGGCAAGAAATGAGTCTGGTAAGGATGATTAGGTAAGTGGAGGCGAAAAAGAAAAGTTCTTCTTTTGAAATGGAAGGAAAAACATCTTTTCTGCTACAACATATGAGTGATAGGGGCTTCTAGTAAGTTTTAGCTGTCTTTTGCATCAACCATGTTCATAGTTTTTATCCACATGACTTTTTTGAGTAATCCCACCCTCACTGATTTTTGCTGTCACTGAGCTGAGCCAACAGCCCTTTGAATCCTGTCTTCCTGCTCCCACAGATTGCTGTGAAACAAAACAAGTCACCTCTTTTAAGGGTATAGAGGACCTTTTACATTCTTTTAACCGATGGCTGTAGGAAACTGCCTATATTAACGACTGGTCTCAGATCTGTTAAAATTTAAGTTATCTGGTTGAGATTTTGTTGTTAAAAAATTTAAATTTTCTTGGAAAGGTGACACGTGTGTGTGATAATTTAAACGACATGAAAGGCTATCCAGTGATAAACAGTCCTCCCTTTCACCCCAGCCCCCTTCCCAGAGACTACACTGGCCCGATGTCCTGCGTACCACCCCCCCCACCCCACCCCCCGAGATGGTCTGTACTTGTGCTCTCCAGTATGGTAGCCATCAGCCACATAGTAGGAGTCCTGGTGGTGCAGTGGTTAAGCACCCGGCTGCTAACTGCAAGGTTGGTGGCTCACGCCCCCCAGTGGCTCCATGGGAGAAAGACTCGACAATCTGTTCCCATGAAGATTACAGCCTAGAAGACCCCACGAGGGAGTTCTGCTCCGTCACGGGGGGTTGCTGTGAGTTGGAATCGACTTGACATCACCCAGCAACAGCAGCCACGTGTGGCAGCCTCTATGTCTTTGCAGTGTGGCCAGTCCAAATTGAGACGTCCACTAAGCATACACCCCCACGTGTCTGTCAGTTTGTCGTACTGTGGGGGCTTGCGTGCTGCTGTGATGCTGGAAGCTATGCCACTGGTATTCAGGTACCAGCAGGGTCAACCATGGCGGACAGGTTTCAGCTGAGCTTCCAGACGAAGACAGACCAGAACATCTTACATACTTTGGGCATGTTGTCAGGAGGGACAAGTTCCTGGAGAAGGACATCATGCTTGGTAAAGTAGAGGGTCAGCGAAAATGAGGAAGACCCTCAGTGAGGTGGATTGACACAGTGGCTGCAACAATGGTCTCAAGCATAACAACGATTGTGAGGATGGTGCAGGACCGGGCTGTGTTTCCTTCTGTGGTACATAGGGTCCTATGAGTTAGAATCGACTCGACAGCACCTAACAACAACAACAGTAAGTGTACAAAGGAGCCCTGGTGTGGCACAGTGGTTAAGCGCTCGGCTGCTAACCGAAAAGTGAGCTGTTTGAACCCACCAGCCTACTTCTGTAAAAATTTACATTCTTGGAAACCCCAAGGGGCAGTTCTACTCTGTCCTGTAGGGTTGCTGTGAGCCGGAATCATAGTGGAATCATAGTCGGAATCCTACCGTAGACTTAGAAAATGGCAGTGGGTTTTCTAAGTGTATGGTACACACTGGATTTCAGACTTGATATGAAAGAAATAATGTATAATATCGCATTAATATTTTTTATATTGATTACCTGTTGAAAAGGTACTATGTTGGGTATCTCGGGCTAAATACAATGCTTATTCTTTTAATTTTGCCTGTTTCTTATTTTTTAATGGCTACTAGAAAATTTAAAATTACACATGTGGCTCACATTATTTCTCTATTGGGCAGTACTGGCCTATACAGTACTTATGAGGGTTTTTTTTTTTGAATGAAAGAAAGTCTGTATTGAAATGGCTCATTAACCCAGTAGCATAAGATGTGACTAAAGTCTGACGTCTTTCTACTTCTCAGTATTCGGATGAGTTTGTTCAGTCGGCCTACCTATCTCGTCGTCTTGCCTACTTTTGTGCCCGGCGTCTGTCCTTGCTGCTGAGTGATAGCCCCAGTCTCCTTGCTGCCCACTCACCCCACATGATGATAGGACCAAACGGCTCAAGCATCGGGGTGCCCAGCCCCGGCCCCGCTGGCTCCGGCATGAGCCCCGTGCAGCTGGCGTTCTCCGATTTCCTTTCCTGTGCACAGCATGGGCCCCTGGTGTATGGACTTAGTTGTATGTTGCAGGTAAGTCTTTGGCCCTTGATATTTTATGCTGAAATACAGAGCAGAAAACAATGGGGTTGGGAATAGCACCTTCAACCTTCATGTCCCAGGTAGTTTTTTCCTCATCTAAATCATTTGTAGCTGATATTTTAAGTTTTCATTTCTTTACATTGGATCAAGCTCAGAATCCCCAGGTGGCACAAATGGATTGGGCTTGGCTACTAATCAAAAGGTTGGTGGTTCGAGTCCACTCAGTGGTGCTGCGGAAGAAAGGCCTGGCTATCTGCTTCCGTAAGATCACAGCCATTGAAAGCCCCATGGAATGCGGTTCTACTCCGACATATATGGTGTTGCCATGTGTGGGAGTCAGCTTGACGGCAGCTTGTTTGGGTTCCGTCTCAGATAATATTTGTTGCCTCTGTCTGTTATGTTGTTGGGTGCCGTTGACTCTATCTCGACTCACAGCAACCCCACGTGACAGTAGAACTACCCCGTAAGGTTTTACAGGCTATGATCTTTATGGGAGCAGACTGCCAAGTCTTTCTTTCATGGAGCTGCTGGGTGGGTTCAAACTACTGACCTTTCAGTTAACATCCAAGCGCTTAACCAGTGCACCACCAGGGCTCCTTATTGCCTCCATATAGAGGAGAGTTAGGTATTGTGGTTGTCCTTTATTATGAACATCAGGCAGGTCAGTGATCAAGCATCCCTGGGGGAATCCACAGAATTCACGTTAGCTGTGTTATAGTTCTTCTGGAAAGACCACTTCTCCAAGCAGTTCTCATCCTGAGTTGGTTGCTGCCTCTGCTCCGTGTTTCTCTGAAATCCAGTTCATTTCTCAGGCTCTGTTCATCTGTCAAGCGTTGTGTGTACGGTCATTGTAAGTCCATTGCGTGCAGTCACTGGGCTGATAACTGTCAGGAAGGAGATTCAGCCCCGTCCTGAAGGAGCTCACAGTTCAGTGTTGAGTTCACATTTCTGGAGCTCTTGGTGTGTCCTGATCTTTACTGAGGGACTTTGGGACAGGAATGGCCATGGAGACACAGACTTTACTCTTACAGAGTTGACTGTGTTGTCGGGAAGGCGGATTCGTGAGTGGGTAGTTTCTGTATAATGCGACAAGGGCTGACGGAGGAGGACATGGGGTGAAAGGAACTGAGAAGTGGAACATGTAGTACAACCTAGAATTTAGGGAAGTAGAGCTAAGTGAGGTCTTATGACGTGAGCGAAAACAAATCAAGTCAGAAGAGGCGGCAAGGGTGTTCCGGACAGGGAACAGTGCAGGAAAAGGTCCCGAGGCCGATCAATCGTCTTGTGTGCAGGCTGGTGTTAATGGAACATCAAGTATGAAGCCTGTTGGGGGTCAGGGCCTAAGACCCCCCATGGGCCCCATGGTTGGGTGTCAGAGGATGGTTTCATGCGGGGAAGTGACCTGGTCAGTTCAGAGGCATAGCGAGGGTAACAAGCACCCAGGAGCAATCTCTAAGTTGCCTCCCCCCGCCACCCCACCCCATTTCAAGATGAATGGATGGTGATAGCAGCGACGCATCGGCAGAAACACCTCCCCCCTCGTATTCGGCTGCCTCAGTCAGGCGCCTTCCTATTTGTGGTGCCTTGGAGTGTGTTCCACGCCGCGTCTGGTGCCCCCTTGGTCTTACACCCGGAGTAAGTGCCCCCCTCTGCCCTGTCCATCCGCGTCTCACCCCCACCAGACCCCTAACGCCTCCCTACGCCTTTGGGTCAGTTGTATGGTTTAGTTAGATTGTTTTGGCCACAGTAGAGGGAGAGAGAGAAACCAGGCAAGGAAGTCAGTTTGGAAGAGTCTAGGTAAATTCAGCTTTGGACTCGTTGGGGTTTAACATCCCCTTAGGACCTCCAAGTGGACATGTTTGAGAGGCTGTTGCATGTCTGACTCTGAAGATTAGGGTGCAAAACTGCCAGATGGGTAGATTTGAGTCGCTTGGGGCCAGTTGGCCAGTCAAAACCCCAAGACATTACCTAAGGAGTTTGTAGTGAGAGAGGACCTGTGGACCTAAGGACCCCAGTGATTAAGAGCTGGGCAGGGGGAAGTCCACAGAGGAGACCAGGGAGATTGGGTCAGACCAGAGAGGAGAGAACAGGGGACTCGTAATAATAGCACTTAACTATGTCGCAGGCACTGCTCTAAGTTGTTGCGTATATTGCGATCCATTCTGTGAGATAGTACCATTGCTGTAACCCCAGTAGTGAAGCGGTAGCACTGGTCACGTAGCAAACAAGTTGCAAAACTGCGGTTCGAAACCATACAGCCTAAGTCCAGGGCCACCCTCTTTACCACTGTGCTACCCTGCTTCTCCAGGTAGCAGAACGTTTCAAAAAGGAGATCCTAGTGGGCAGTGCCAAGTGTGTTGGGACGGCTGATGGGAAGATGGCTGAGGCGTGTTTTGGGTTTGACAGTATGGTGGTCATTTGGGATCGTGTTTCAGAGCTCCTTCGGTTGAGTGGTGGGTGAGAAGCCAGATTGAGGGGGGTTGAGGAGTAATGAAGACCGAGGAGAAAGACTGCTAGCTGTTCTTTTGAGAAACGTGTCTGTGAAGGAAGAGAAGAGAATGGGTAGTTGCTGGGTCAGTGAAAGTTTTTTTTTAAAAGTTGTGTTTTTGTTTTTTGGATGGGCAGATTTGAGCATATTTCTAAGCTAAGGATAGACTAGTAGAGGGGGAGCCTGAGAACACGAGAGGAGGGGTGTTTGAGAGATGAGTGCCCTAGAGACGGGAGGGTTTGGAATCCAGAACCCAGGGAGGGGCTCCATCATGGACCCGAGACGGGGGGAAAGAGGTCGAGATGGGGGCCAGTGGAGACAGAGGTGTTGGTGGGCTTTAGGAACTGGATGTTCTTCACATCTGCCACCTGCAAAGCTGTCTCCTCAGAATTTAGATTTTTATATTTAAACATACATTTTAGATAAAAAGAAATATTGCGTCCATTCTGTAAGCTCACATAGTTGGCTGTTGAGTGGCATGGAAGTGTAATGGTGAAGACACACACTTCAGAATCTTTGTAGACCTGATTTTAAGCCTCTCCTCCACCACTTAGTAACTGTAATCTTGCGGCTCAGTTTCCCCACGTGTAAAGGGAGGACGATAGTAGCTCTTACCTCGTTACATCGTAGGGTTAAGGTTATGATGACTGAAGCTGCCAGGACAGCATTCAGCATGTAGTGAGTGTATTACCAAAGTGAGCGGTGGTATTTAATCTACGTTTAGCCGGCAGTTGTGGGCTGGAATCAAGCCTCGGCTGATTACTCACCTCATCTGTAGCACTTACTTCTCTTTGATGGAAGTAGGGAATAATGGTACCCACCTCATGAGGTTGTTGTGAGTTGTAACTAAGATAGTTGTCTAAAGTGCTTAGTGCAAGCTCTTTTGAGTGAAAGGATCCAGGACAGGGTTGTAGACAAACTACAGCCGGCTGCCTGACTCTGCTTATGAGCAAGAACAGTTATTAAAAAAGGAGCCCTGGTGGCACAGCAGTTAAGAGCTTGGCGGTTCGAATCCACCAGCTGCTTCTTGGAAATCCTGTGGGGCAGTTCTCCTCTGTCCTGTAAGATCGCTATGAGTCGGAATCCCCTTGATGGCAACAGGTGGTGGATTTAAAAAAAAAAAGAGAGTGAGAGAAAAAGAAAAGAAAAATATGTGATAGAGACTGGATGTGGCCCTCCAAGCTTCAAATGTTTACTGTCTGGCCAATTCTAGAAAAAGGGTTGGGTACTGACCACCCAGCATTGTGAAGCTGCATGTAATTTACTGCGCCGTCACTTGTGAAGACTCTCTGCATGCAAGTTATTGAGATGTTTTTTCTTTTTAAATAATTCCCTTTAGATTTTATGACCTTAGAAATTGCACATTTTAATTGCATCTCATTTTTTTGTTTTAACTGCAAGACTTTTTGTGAGAAAAGATTATCGTGTTAAGTGATAATTACTGCATTTTTGTTAATTTCCTAGGTTTCTTGTGCTGGGATATTAGCTTACGGACCGGAATTTTCTGTAATTTCTCAATGGCTGTACTTTTCCCTTTTCAAAATAATAATTCTGTCACAGTTTAGTCATCACTGGGGAATTTGAGACCGAGGGTAAGAAGCTCCTATTTTAAACTGAGGAAACCGAAATACAGAAACAAAAGGTGTGATTTTTAGTGCTATGCTCACTGTTAGGCTTTTCCCCTGCCTCTCAGCGTCTGGGTTTTCCTGCTTCATTTGCAGACTGTCACTCTCTGTTGCCCAAGTGCCTTGGTGTGGAATTATCCCGCAAATGACAATAAGAGCACAAACCCGGGCTCGCCGCTGGATCTGCTGCAGGTGGCCCCTTCCAGCCTACCCATGCCGGGCGGGAACACGGCTTTCAACCAGCAGGTACACACTGTCTCAGTGTTGGGATGGATGTTTCCCATGCCGGGCGGGGACACGGCTTTCAACCAGCAGGTACACACTGTCTCAGTGTTGGGATGGATGTTTTCATTCTTGGGAGGCATCAGGGCATAGTGAGCCAAGCCCGAGTTGTAGCATCTCAGAAGTCGGGTGTCATTCACAGCTCTACCCTGAACTTTCTAGGTGACCTTGGTGGAAACCTCAGCCCCTCTGAACCACAGAAGTTCATGAAATTGCTCCATTTCTTTTCACCCTCTTGCTGGGCTGTGCGTGCTAAGATTTCCACTGCCCAGACAGTGATTACTGTGGTGGTTCCAATATATGGCCACAACTCCCATAGCAGTGGTCTGTGGTATCTAGTAAGTGTTAGATGTTTTCATTGGTGCCGGGTTTTTTTGGTTCAGAGACTTAGGAAATTTAAACCACAGGATTGTGACTAATATTTAGAGCAAGGCCACTCTGTTTTTATCAAGCAGTTTTCTTACTAAAAAAACACTGCCAGTTGCTTTCCGTCATGGGAGAATGGTTCAAAGAAGATATCATAGAACTTTCACTTTTCATATGATGTCCTAAGAACAGTTGCCCTTGTCAGAATTTTTTTTGCAAGTGTTTGTTTTCATGAGTATTTATTATTGAAAACTGGGTTTGAGTCGCCGCTTACAAATGTTTAGAAATGCCCGTTCTTGGGCAGCAGACTGCGTGTCCGTCGATGTCGTCAAGCTTGGAGTTCACCGTAGGATACTCTACTCATATGGAAAAACCTGACAGACTTTAGACAGCTACCGTGGCTTTCCACGCGCAAGTTAATGAGAAGAAATTATCTTTCAGGTTCGAGCGAGGATTTATGAGGTGGAGCAGCAGATAAAACAGAGAGGCCGCGCCGTAGAAGTCCGGTGGTCTTTCGACAAATGTCGAGAATCAACAGCAGGTACAGAACGCGACGGGAGAGTGACTGCTTGGGGTGTTGGACGTTATGCTGTGCGTCTGATTCCTGTAAATCACTTCATGTGAATAAGGAAGCTCTTCCACAGCGCCACCTGGTGAATTCCGAGGACATTTGTCTGTTTATGTCCTTTAGGTCTTGGCTGTATAGAATGTCAGGAGTGCTTTTGTCGGCCATTCTTTGATAGCCGAGAAGGGATAATGGTTTAAAGTTCCTTTTGCCCCACGTAATGATGGTCTTGTACTGCACTGTGCTTCTTAACTGCTTGCTGGATTTTTGTTTCCAGGGGTGACCATCAGTCGGGTTTTGCACACACTGGAAGTCTTGGATCGTCACTGTTTTGACCGAACTGATTCCAGCAATTCAATGGAGACGCTTTATCATAAGATTTTCTGGCCAAACCAAAACAAAGACAACCACGAGGTAGTTAATATTTCTCCTTGTCACTTTTTATTTTCTTAGCATGTGTTTCTTCTTTCTCATTCCGTAAATCCTGGCGAAGTCTTTGCAGTGCAGTCTCTTACGAAGATGTCTGCGCTCTGAAATCATTCTATTGTTGGACAAAAATGACTTGCCGTTATGAAAATTAAACTACCACCAGCCTGGTCTGCCCAGGTCTTTTGATTGGAAAGATTTTTCTTGCCCCTTTTACCATGACTTCCTGTCACTTAGTTTTGAGCAGAATCTCCTTCGTCTAGCGATTGCATTTTACAAAGTTGTTTGGCCTTCGTGTAGGGGGGAATGTATTGTAATGTTCAACACATCACAGAGCAGCGAGTGGATAGTTGTGGTCATGGTCTTTGAAAATGCCTTAGTCAAATTGATCTTTCCTAGCAATAGATTTGTTTCACGGACACATTAGAAACGTAGGATTTTCAGGGTTTTTTTCCTCCACCTTATTTTGTTGGGGGGCATTGTATAAATAGTTTATCTGTCTTCTTTTCATAGTGAAGATTGCCTATGGTGTAAATTTTAAGACATGGTACCCACCTTTGAAAGGAGCCCTGGTAGTGCTTGGCTGCCAACTAAAAGGTTGGCGGTTCGGACCCGCCCAGTGGCTCTTCGGGAGAAGAACCAGGCAATCTGCTCCCATAAAGATTACAGCCAAGCAAACCATATGGGGCAGTTCTACTCTGTCACATGGAGTCGCTGTGAGTCAGAACCGACTCCATGTTCCCCAACAACAACAACAACAACCCACCTTTGAGGAATACCTTAGTTAACTGACTATAAATACTTTCCATTTCCAAGCTAGACTTTGGACATGCATATGTGGAAACAAGATAAAACAACAAAAACAACGACGAAATGCCTTTCCTTTTCCTACCTTGATGTGAGCCTGATGCATGTTTCACTATTGCTCCCTTTGGAATAGCTTGTGAGTTTTCACCCTGCTTCTTGAAGATGTGGTTCAAGGCCGTTGATGAGGCCATTGATATCAGCTGGGATCCCAGAATGTTGAATGAGGTACAGATGGAGTGTATCTCTGACTCCTTTTGAGTCTCAGCAGAAATGCTTCAGTAGACCAACAGAATGTCAGTCTCCATATTACTTTGCATATTGAGGCAGGTTGGGGTGCTGCTGTGCTATTTTGGAGTGGAAACCTTAGAGTCCTTTATTTGTGATAAACACTCCCTTAGGTAAAAGACTTCAAGAGTCCTAAGATTTTTAATATATAGAAGTGACCTACCTGGAGGGGCAGCAGGGATACTCAAAGTTCAAGATGTTCTTTTGGATTGTTAATCTTCTTGCTCGAAGGGTTTAGTGAAAACTGTGTTGTTCCCTGGCCAGGGTTTTACCAAGTTTGTCAAAACCACCTCAGTTTTGCGGTTAACCTGACCATGTAACTTTCTAGTGAACGAACTGGCCACCCCTCAGAATTACTGCCTCTTCACCTCCAGAGACTTAAGTTACCCACAAGCACTCTGAAAGGAAAATGATAATTAGGGTGTAATTTGTCTTGTCAAGGGCGGAAATTATGTTGTGATGTTACTGAATAAAATCACGCCGTGGGGTTCTCTCTAAAATGCAGTTGTCTCCAAAATGAGGTGCTTGAGATTAACCGTTGCGGTGTGAGGAAATTATTAGAACTTAGACTGCATTTTTCAAAACCTCACACTTTAAGTAGTTCCATTTTGACTGTTTTTATAAGTCACATAGTTATTATGGTAGTAAAGGTATAGAAATTTTAAATTAATAGATGTATATGGAGGGTTTAACTAAAAAAAAAAAAAAATTCTTTAAGAAGCTGGAAGGAGGATATGTGAGAAAGGTTTGGAGAACACCCGGTCTAAGCTTCTCCTAAATGACCATCTTCTCAACGCGGGCTCTGGGGAGGAGTGCACCACTAGAGGGCAGCACCCGCTTAGGGCAGCACGCTAGCTACAGAACGTCGTCGGGAGTAACGTGAGTGTTGCCACATTTAGCACTAGTTATGTTGACTGTTGACTCAACTCTGGAAAGATTTGATGTAAGTGGGCTGCTTTGTGGTTAGCATGCTTTTTTATGAGTAAGACGAGAACTGTATTTTGAACTTGTAATTCAGACTGGTCACCTTTTCTTAATGATCTGGTGGAAAGAATCATTGAAGGAACAAACCCTTCTGTAATATTTAACATTAAATTAATTTTGAAGTACGGCTTTAACATCCATTTGTATGTGTGTGTATGTGTGTATTAAGGTGTTTATGCCTGTGTATGCAAACGACAAAGTTTAATCTGTAGAACTTCACCAGGGATTAATGTTTTCTTGACTACTGTGTTGCTTCCTATATTCTGGAATTCATGGCTCTGATCAGCCCTGTGACCTGGGACAAGTTTTGTAGGCTCTGTGCCTTAGTGATTCACTTGTTAAATGGATGTACAGGACTTGTCTTATCTTCCTGTCCTTCTCTTCAAGCATTATAAAACTCTATTCAAAATATGTTTAAACAATTTTTTTTATTGTTAATGACAATTATAGTAATCATTATCAGAAGAACCAGTATGGTCGAGCTACAGATTCTCTGAGAAGAAGGAGCTGTGCAAAGAGGTGTGGTTAGGATCGTAAATCCATCTCACTTCTTTAAAATGTACTTCCCGCTTTCTGGTTTCAGAATTTGTGTCAGGACTTAGACAACATTGTAGATGAGAAGAAGAACTACCAACCTGTTCAGCTGCGGTGGGTTTGAGGTTTGCTCTTGTTTGCAGCCTTGTCTAGGTGTGCCTGGGCCCTCAGCTGCACAGCCTGCTTCTCCTTTTCTCCTTTGGGAGACTTGAACTTCACCTCCTCGTTTCCCTTTTCTCTGGAACTGCTAAGGGGAAACAAATCCTTTTGGAGATGTGGGAGAGCACTTGTCCTAATGGGAGAAGCCGGGGCGTCTGAGGTTCACGTTTGTGTGTGTCATCTGTCTCAGTGTGTGGTGAATACCTGCTGAAAACCGAAAGGCCTGGGCTGAAGCCATTCATGGCCTGGATCCCGCCCTGTCTTTGGACTGGGTCAGGGGAGTGAGAGTCGGAGCTGAAACCGTGCCTCTTGATGGGGGAGTGCAGTGCCTTCAGCCCACGTTGACCAATTCCACACGGGGCGCATCGTTCCTTAAGACCTCCCCTCCTACATAGCCTCAGCTAACCGTGTCAGGGCTAGGGGAGTATTATAAGGGAGGGGAAAATAGAAATCTCACAACCCTTCATGTTTACTTTAGATCTTTGCTACCCGAATGTCTGTTCAGTGGAATGGGAGCGATAGATACTGCCATCCTTAGGTGAGGGCTCAGAGACTCCTGTCCCACACTGGTCTGGAAGGTGGTGTAGACTAGTTAGCTGGGCTGCTGTGTATAAGGCAGTGGGGGGCAAGGGGACCAGGAAATGAGCATGCCTTATCTGAATAGGGCAGCCTCTGTCAGATTCGGCTGGGGATCGCGGACCCACTGTTGCGTGACCGTCCACCATTTGAAGGGAATGTATGTGCGTATAGAAAATTTCCCAATTTTAAAACACTTTGCAGGCCGAGCAGCGCGTCTGTTGTCTGCGTTTGCTCAGATGCCTGCCACTTTCTGACTCCTGTTACGTGTTTCAGATGATGCTTTCTTACTAATTTCTATCTTTAGAGCTTTAGAACCATTTATAGCCTGGGCCATGAGGTGGGTGGAGGCCTGGCACCCTGACAAGGGAGTTATTACCTGAGGTATTTGTCCCTGGGTGGTGTAGATGGTTTGCACTACTAACCTAAAGGTTGATGGTTTGAACCCACCCAGTGGCACTGCGGAAGAAAGGCCTGGCAGTTTGCTTCCATAAAGACTACAGAAAGAATACAGAGCTCTGTAGCACATGGGGTCGCCGTGAGTCGGAGTCAACTTGATGGCAGTGGGATGGGGCCCTCTGATTCCAGGCACTGATCGAGTCTGTCACTTTTGACCCGAAGGGGACTCACAGTGCTGACCTCACCTCTGAGCAGCAGGATGAGGGAGGGGTATCCCTCCAGCCTTCCACAGCCCTTGGGCCACTTCCTTCCTCTTGGCGTCTCTTTCCTTATTTGTTTTGGGCTGAGGGGAGAAGCAGCTGCATCTTTGGGTGCTTTGGGACACAGACAGGGAAAGTGTAAAGATGGCAGGAAGAACTGCCCTTTTCACTTCTCTCTCTGGCACCCAAGGAAGCTGACTTTCTCCTGAGTAATGAAAAGGTCGAACCACCTGCCCTGAACAGAACTTTCCAGAACAGCAGCAGTGTGGGCATTTCCTCTTCCCTGTGATTGCAACAAATACATCACGCTCCAGAATCCTGAAAACCTGCGTGTACGCTGTTTGCATTTGTTTTATGCTTAGCACACGTGTGAAGAATTCCGTGAACAGGCGCGAGGGTTACTGCTGATAGTTTGAATGGCAGAGGTGTGCTTTACTCACCTCCGGCACAGGGCCTCCTGGGCTAAACCAGGTCTGCATCAGCGTGGCTGCCCGACCAGCGTGATCTAAAGACGCCCAGAGCTCGGCTTCTGGCAGGCTCTGCTTGTTCCACGTTTGTCTTCCCGGGAGTCTGCAGCTCCGTGAGGTTAGGGTCTTTTCTGTTCACGGTGTATCCTCAGCCCATAGTGCCATGCCTGGGACCCAGTGGGTGCTCAGCAGACAGTTACAGAATTTTTTAGGGGGCTCATTAAAAAAAGCTGCTGGGGCTGTGAATTGGAAGGAGAAATCCCTCTCTGAAATTTGTCTTGGAAGAGTAAAGGTGCCGTTGGTGGAGAGAGCCAGCACTGGATCTGATTGGGGCGGGCCTCTTTGTTTGTTTTTAAGCCTATATACAGGTCTTTTTCTTCTTCTGCCTTTTTTTTTTTTTTTTTTAATCCTTCTTCCAAACACCAGGCCCTTTTTTAAATGTGTTATGCCATTTCATTTAATTTTCACCCAGCCTGAGAGGCACAGGCTATTTTTATGTCCTACTTTATGGATGAGG